GAGAGAAATTTAAGAAATGTGTAAGGTCAGGACAATGGGAATGGCAATTCTTTAATTTGTAATGTGAAGACATTTCCTTAAGACTCTGTTTTCACTTTTCTAGGTACCATCTCTCTCGCCACCATAATTTCTTTCTCCTAGTAGAAAGATCTAGGTGTGTCAAGTTCTTAAGCCCTGCCTTTTCCTCTGTAGTACAGGGTGAGGCCAAAGAGCTGCATTATCAGGCTTTGCTTTTATCTCCCCTGAAAGCCTTTTATACAAGATTCTCCTGTCCTCAGAGGAGTCCTAAAGTCACCTTTAAGTCTTTTGTCAGGAAAGGAAAGTACTCTCCTAAAAACTATAGTCAATCCTGGCTTCCATTAAGATGTAAGAACGGACAGTAGGAAATCTCTAGCTACAGTTTTGATCTCTAGAAGTGATTTATCTTAAAGCCACTCATTAACTGCAAGCATTTATTAGGAACCTACTGTGTGCTTGAAGCTATCATAACCTCATGTTAGATCATTAAAGATGGCAGCTATGTGATGACAACTGTCAGAGATGCTGAGCGTCTGAGCCAGATTAGTCTGTGTGTGCGCATGGTGCTGCATGGCTCTCTCCTGGTATTAGTGGGCAACTCAATTGAGAGAGAGGAGTAGTAACTCTTAGAGACTGAAATTGAACATCTATTTCTGCAGTAGTTCGTCAAAGTGTTTGTCATAGGTTTTTAGGGATTTATAATCTATTAATCTCTGATCATTCTTTCCTAGAGATTAAGAAAAACATGGCACCCAACACTTTAAGTACAGGCAAGCCTTAACTTACCAGTATGTTCTCTTTTCTCTTCTCCCCACCTTATCTCAGAAGCTGCTGACAGTTTCCACCAGCCTTTGCTCCTCCGCTAACAAAGGCCATCTCCATTCGTTTTCTTCTGTCCATAAACTCCATCCTCCCTCCCCCTAACCCTATTCCTACCCTGGGCCAGAGTCCTTAACAACTCCTATTTCCTTTCAGGCTTGAGTTATAATTTCCAGTCATCTGAACCCTCAGTATCTGTGGGGGCGGGGGTTGGCTCCCTGCAGTTACCAAAATCTGTGGGTGCACAGTCCCTCAAATAAAATGATGTACTATTTGCATAAAACCTCTGTACATCCTCTGAAATACTTAAAATCATCTCTATATGAGTGACGGTACCAACTACAGTGGAAATACTATGCAGATTCTTATTATGCTATATTGTTTGGGAACTAATGACAAGGAAAAAAAGTTTGTATGTTCATTACAAATATAATTCCCCATCTCCTTCCCGCTGAGTATTTTAAATCCATGGTTGATTGAATCCTCCTGAAGATGTACAGAGCAAACTATAACACTTGACTAAAATTCTGGGTTTAAATTTTGGAGCTAGCTTGGAAATCCAAGTTATGTATATATTTTCTGTTCTAAGTCCTAAATGAGCTAATTTAGAAGTGAACATTTGGGGTTGGTGAAGTGGCTCAAGCAGTAAGAGCACCTGCCTAGCAAGCATGAGGCCCTGAGTTCAAACCCCATGCCTCCAAAAAAACAAACAAGCAGAAAAAAGACGTGAACATTTGAAGTGTAGGCATTTCATAGGGTTCTTGTGTTAGGGCAAGAAGAAACAGGTTAGGTTTTTCAATTGTTTTCAAAAGTTTCTCAGGAAAAAAGATGGAATGCTAACCCCCACTCCATCCCCACCAGTCATGGTTCCTAGTGATGTTATTCACTACTGCATATGTTCAAATAGTGCAAACCTTGTCATCAATCATATGAAAAACTCAAGCACAATAAGTGTATATTTTTATGGCAAGCTTATTTTCACCAAACAGCATTGACTTCTTTGCTACCAACTCTGTCGTAGCCTCACCAGTCACTTTGATCTTCCCACAGTTCTCTTATCTGTTCGATGTCTCTGAAGCAGGCAGGAGTTTAACATTTTCATGTCTAAGAACTTCTTTGAGTGAAATTGATGAAGAAATGAAATTAATAAACGTGGAGAATTTTTCAGCCAAAACTTCTCAGCTCAGTGATCAGCCTTGAGTCTTAGCAAAAAGAGTTTAATATAAATCTATGACAGACACGGCTTCTTGAATGAGGGGAGAATAGGTTTGGAGCAATTTCTAGTGTTTGTGTAATTGAAAACCTCACTACTGGCACTTTGCGGGGCACTGAATAAAGAAATTCTCAGCCAAAGAGTAGTAGGCTTCACTGATCTATAAGAAATACAGACTTCAGAGGGCAAAAAAATTTAGCTGTTATTCTTGCCATACAACAGTAGCAACTAATAAGAAAGAAATTCTAAATGCAGATATGGTCAATATTTAGATACAATTAATATTAAGAGAATGCCAATAAGAATGGCACAAAATACAGTGGCAGTGGGACATACTAGTTACTTTTTTATATAATTGAATCCCAGATCTCTTGAACTTAATATGCAAATAAATTAAAATACTATGTAGATAAATATTTTGTTTGGAGTGGCTAGCACTTAAGAAAACTGAATGATAGCTTAGAATTCTTCAACAAAATGTCCCACTACGACTGTTTAAGTTCCTTTACATTTTTTATTTAAAATATTTTCTTATTGAAAACTGAATGAAGTCCTACAACCTATGATGTAGCAGATCCCTCACTTATAGGGAATTCTATTTTTCTGAGGAATTCATTTATTTATTCCATAATCAAAAGACTAGCTGTCATAGAAGAGATACCTGGGTAGTAACGTTAAGGTGGACAGGTAGAGTTGACAATATAGATTCCAAGGCTGACCTCTGCATTGGAAAGTTGCATTTAAATAACTCTCAAGTGCCTCCAAACTACTCTGACTGAGAGTGAGATCCTCAGCATTTACTAAAAGTATAAGAACTGGCTTTCAAATATATTTGGGCTCTAATTTACTGATGGCAAATCTTTGAATTACAATTTAGAAGTGAAAACTAATCTCTAATCTTCAGCATGTCATTTGGTGAAAAGAGCAGAGGAAAGGGACAGAAGCTTGACAATGGCCCCTGAGGGATTAGTAATTTTGTCTAAAATGAGGATGGTAATTACTCTTGTCACCAAATTCTAGTGTTGCCCTCCTTAACGAAGCCTGCACTACGGAATGGTAGTTTCCTAGGACTGGAATGCTCTTACAATGACATTTTGCAATCCCAATAAGTGGAATTGCAAAACTGCATGAAAATACAAAATGTATTTCCTCCCTACAAAAATGAAATTTATAATGTAGGCAGAGCCTTTAAAAGACATCAATGGTAACTGCAGAATGAATGGCAAATACAGAAACCATTTTCTTTATAAGAGCTGAATCATTTTCCTTAGAGTTACAGAAGTCACTAATGTTAGAGTATAGTTTTTAATGTGTAAAATATGCATAATAAATTTTTAAAATCTTATTGGAGACCATTATGCAATTCAGTGAAGTAATGTAGTAAAAATCCATATCTCTGTAAGCTCTCGAATACCTGAGTTTCTCGCCATGCTCTGAAGCAGGAAGCCAAGCCGGATCCTGGGTTCTCATCCCCAAAGCACCTTGCTAAACTCTAGCTTGAGTTCAAAGTTTGTGTCCTCTTTTACCTCTTCCCTCTGCAACACCCTAACATCCCTTGCTCCATCTCTCTGCTCATCTCTACACACCCTTTCCCTCATAATGAGCCTTCTTCCCCAACTAACTTTAGCCACCTTTAAAAAAAAAAATTGGGTGCTGGGAGCCATCTCAAGTGGTAAAGCACCTAGCTAGCAAGGGCAAGGTCCTGAGTTCAAATACCACCACCACCACAAAAAAAAAAAAAAACCTAAAAAAATTTTTTTTTTCCAGATAGGGTCTAGAGAACTATTTTGACAAGGCCGGCCTTGAAGCACCATCCTCCTGATCTCTGCCTCAGGAATAGCTGGGATTATAGACGTGAACCAAGGGTACCCGGCTAAAGCTCCCTTTAATGATACATGTAATGAGTCTTCAATACAAAGTGTATGCTTAGTATTATTTATATCTTTTGCAGAAAATGTGGACTAGTTAGATAAAGCACCGGTTGGTTTAGAATGCAGCGGGCTTGGGGTCAGGAGTTCAGAGTTTTAGATGTGGCTAGGCTTTTTGTCACTACACAAGTCTATTCCCAACTCCAGGTTGCTGGTGTGGCATCCTAACAGATTTATCTAGAGTGCTTGTACATGGTACTCCACCTTGACCCAGGGGCTGAACCAGAACCTTTGAGGGGAGAGCCTAGGAATTTGCTCTGCAGTTTTAAAAGCTCCTCCCGTGATTCTCCAGCAGCCTAACATTTCAGAAGCTCACACACTTTGAGTAGCAAGGATGGGGTGGTTTGGATCTGCAGCACCGGCATTATCTGAGAGACTGAAATGAAGATTCTTCCCCGGTCTCTCAGACCTTCCGAATATGTGCATCTTAACAAATCTTCTAGGACAGTCCATCACATTAACGGCTTGAGAAGCACAGCTGTACCTTGGGTCGCTTGGGGCAGCTTTACAACCCACATGCCTGAACCCCATCTAGAGTCTCCTGTGCTTATTCTGGGGGTGCGGCCGGGCAAAGGGCTCATCTTACAAAGCTCCCCAAGTTATCTTCAAGTACAGCCAAGGTAAAGGACCATTTCCCCCGATTGCCACCCTTAATGGTCAAGCAGTATAATAACCTGAGTTACGTTGGCTTTTGCGGGCTCGCCTGGGACCTTAACGACTGCTTAGGTAAACAGTGCTTTCTGGGGGACAATGGACTCTGGAGACAAGTTCAACCACGCACCTTCAGGTTTACCAGACCCCAGGCGGGAGACTTCCTGCACCTTCCAGCGGCGAGTCAGCAGGGCGCAGCGCGGGCGGGCCAGGCGCGCGCCCCCGCCGGCCCCGCCCGGCGCGCCCCCTCCCTCCGGGCCTCCCGGCTGACGTGCCGCAGCGGCCCGGGACATGCGCACTGGCGCCCCGCGCCCCGCGCGGCTGCTCCGCCTCGCCGCCTGTCATTCCCCGCGGCGCGGCGGCGAGTGCGGACCGCTGTGCCCGTCCGCTCTCTCTCTCGCCCGGCGGCGCGCGGGCGATGCGACCGATCCTCTGGGGACAGGCTGACGGCTCTGCCGGCGGCACCGCTTCGGCTCTTCTCGCGCCGGGTTTCTGGCGGAGTCGCCATTCCCTGGGAGCGGGAGACGGGCAGCCGACGCTCGGAGCGCAGCACTCCCGGGGCCGGCGGCAGCTGCAGCGCTCAGGTCCGCGCGGCCGGGAGCAGCCTTAGTCTTCATCGCCGCCGCCGCCCGGCCGTGCGCTCTGGCCGGTGCCGGGCAACGGGCACGACTGAGCCCAGGAGGATCGTGCAGAGTGGCAGCGATTGGTCCTGCATCCGCCACTGTCACCGGCCACTGCGGGGTTAGCAGGGCTGCGTGCAGCCGGAGTTTGCTGGGGTTGCCTCCGAGCGTCGTCCCCCCCAAGAGGACTCTGTCTCCAGCGTCCCGGTAAGTTGACTGTAGTTTCTGAAGTTGCAGGGAGCCGTGGGAAGGAGAGGTTCGTGTTTATTATCTGCGCGGTGTGGGAGCGGGGTGGCACCTCCTGGGCCACCCGGTTCCAGTTGGGGAGGGAGTTCCAGCAGAGGTCCAGTTGGGAAGGGAGTACAGGGGTGCAAAGAAGGGGAAGACGGCACGCGAGGTGAGGCTGAGTCCAGGGCTGGCTGGCTCAGGCTGCTGACGAATGTGCCAGTTGGAAATGTGCTGGGTGCGGACAGGTGCTCCCTGGGCACTTCGCCTGCTGCTAATTGCACATTCCGAGCTCCTTCACTGTGCGGGAGGCGGGCGTCCGCAGGGTATTGCCACCTTTCTCCTAAGTCCGCAGGGGACAGACTCTCCTGTGATACCCCTGGGTGGCCAGCACTGCCAAGGATCTAAGCTAAGACATTCCTTCTCAGGCCTGCTGGTTTCCCGCGCATCCCACTTTTACCCTTCCCCTAGGCACAAGTTGCTAGCCTTCCCATAATTGGAGCCTAGTCCTTTAGAGAAAAAAAAAAAAAAAACAAAGCACAACTTCTCTGTCAACCGAATGTTTTGCGCTCTAAAGCATATAAAACGAGAAAAACGCCCTGTATATGTGATTTCCTACGTTCTAAGAATGTGGGCAAGTCTGAAAGAAATGGGATTCCGATGATGGCACCGGGTTTCACCCTGACTGTCCTGCATCTCTTATGTAAGCCTCCCGGCTGGCTGGGTAACTTTGCCTCTGCAGTGTCTGCAGCTGTGGCGCTCCACTCCGTTTGTTTAAAGTCCAGCTTGAACAGTGTTTAATGAAAATGCTGACATGTTATAGCAGCCTGGAGTCAGAAAGAGTGGTCTCTTCAGACTGCAGTGTCTTCTAATAGGCAGCATGGGAGGAAGAGCCCAGTATATTTTTCAAGGCAGCTCAAGGAATTGGACACATAAATCATGTTTTAAAATAGCGTGCATTGTGCAGCAAGCGTGCAGAAGACCCCTTTTGGAAACTATCCTCTTTGTTTTAGAGAAAGTGGAAATTGTTCATGTCAGACAATTGTTGAGTCTGAAAGTTAAGTGTACTGATGGGCTTAATTATCTTAATAAACAAAGAGCATGATTTATAGGTAGCTGCAGCGGTCTACTTTGAAGGATAGAAATCTTTAACCTTTCTTCCTCAGCTGGCCCCTAGAGATTCCTTTTAAGCAGAGCAATAGATTATCATCATTGATGTTTAATACTTGAGTTGATTAAATTTGCAAAAGGAACACTTTGAAATACCATATAGCACTGCTGTGTGGCTGTTAGACAGCGAATATTAGAAGGGGGCTATGTGGAGTCTCTGGCATAGAAGTCACTAGCTTAACAAAATAAATCACATCAAGACTGCCCTGAGATATGCATATGTGTGTGTGTGTGTGTGTGTGTGTGTGTGTGTGTGTGTAGACAGAAATACATACAGAGAAAATTTTACATGAGTGATTTGGGACTTGAAATAATTGCTTAAATCAAAATCCAGGGGTGTGCGTTAGTATAAGATTTATTTAGGTATTCTTTAGAGAGAAATCCATTTATTATGGTATTCCAGCATACAAAACAAGGTGAACTAGTTAGCGGTGTCTTATTTTAAATGTAGTTTTTATTTTAAGAATTCTTAGAAAATACAAAAAAATGTTATTTCAATACATTGTGGTTTGTGAGAGCATCCAGTGTTTATCTCTAGAAGAGATTCCATCCAAACATAGAATCTCAAACAGGCTGATCCCCACACACTGTTATGTCATAATTAGCATGCCTGTGGAGCTGGACAGCCAGCTCTTATACCATCTGTTTGAATCTGGGCAAGTTACCTAAACTCTGTGCCTCAATGTGTCTATCTATAAAATGGGCATAACAATAGCACCTACCTTACTGGATTGTGGTGAGGATGAAGTAAATTTATCTATGTGAAGCTGTTGAGCTAGGGTTGGCATATTAAGCTTGCTCTGGATAAAATTATTTTTGCTATGAAAAGAAATTCATCTTTGAATACTGCAGACATTGAACGGCTACTGATGGAGATTAACAGAAAAGGTTCATGTATATGATAGGAGAGAGGGTATAAACGTTTTTTGGGCACACCCTTGTGATACAAACAGACACCAACTGGTATTTGACTTACTGTGTCCCTCAATTCCCCACTGCAGGCCTTTGGGTAGGTGGCTTCATCTCCATGTCAGAGATGAGGAAACTGAAGCTGAATAAGATGAAATAATAAAAGAAACTGAAGCTTGCCTTTTAAACACATCTGTCTGTTCAAAGCTGTTCTTTTGACTCTGCTGCCTCAACTTGAAAATGAAATAGTTATATTATTAGCCTCAATTTTCAGATAAGGAAGTTTAAGCTTAAGGATTAGCATATGCAAAATACTTAACAGCATCCACAACGCAGTTCTACATGATCTAGAGCTGTTATTAGTGTCATATTTGCTGTTAAATAGCTTGCCTTGGTTACATACCACCTTTAGTGCCAGCAGGTAAGGTGGGTTTTCTCCTTCAGCTAGGTTCATTTACTTCATTCTTCCTTATTCATATATTCAGAGTCAAAAGAAAAAGTGGTATGGTGTTATATTTCACACTGCAACCTGGTGCCCCTTGTCCACAGCTGTGGAACTCCACACAGTGAAGTATGCACCAGCGGTCAGCCCTCCAACAGCGTCATTCGTGAGTGTGTATCCCTATGCACTGGAAAACTCCCCTAGGCAGAGAGGGGCCTTGAGCTTTGCCTCCTACTTATGCTGTGAAGTGGAAACAGTCTCTCCTTCACAGCAGTAAGCACATTTCCTTTCATCCTACATAGCACCAACGCCAGGGGAAGCGGTTTTGGGGGTTCCATGGGAGCAGGCATGATTAGGAGTCTCCATGGGCTATTGGACTTTTCACCTGTGTTCTAGGCTGGAGCGTGATTGAGAGGCCATGGATTTTTGTGGCTTTTTAGGTTATCACCCAGATACTTGATAGTATTCTGGTACTTAATATTCTTTCTTTTCTAGATACTAAAATCCAATTGCTGCATAAAGCACACAGGCAACAGACTGCTCACAGGTTTCGTGTTTAATGAAACCTCTTAGCTAGTATATCTGCCACTGAAAGTTACTTCAGGACAGATGTTCAACGTTGGCTTTCTTTTTTTGAATCAAAACTCCCCAGGAGTAAGCTTCTAGTAGGCAGCTTCTGTGCGCCTGGGGACACAAAACCACAGTTGCAGCGTGCCAGAAAGAGCCCTTGCCATCAACTGAGTCATCTCACATCTCCAAACTGTTTTCTACTGCAGTTTTAGTCCTTCCTTTCAGAGAACAAGTCCTCCCCTGGGTTCAGTCAATAGCTATATGCCAAACATTCCTCTGTTCTGGGTTTTTCTATAGTAAAGATCTTCCTTGAGCACTTCCGTAACTTCAGCTAAGTCTGTGACTTACTATTATCTAATTCTTCAGAATTTGCATATTGTTTTATTTCTGTTGCCACTTTTAAATCTATAAATAACTTTTCCTCTGACATCCAGTTTTCTTTTGATGTCAGAAGATAACATGTACAAAACACGCAGACCAATTTTAATATAGACATAAGTAAATGAAGATCATTTATACTCCCCAGTCATATCTACTGTTTGGAATTTTCACTGTGGGTTTAGGTAGCTGGGAGTCAGAATTTCTAGAGCTCTTACCTTAAGCATTGTGAGAGGTATGTTGGAGAGTTATACAGGTTTCTAGTTGTACAAGCAAGCAGTGCATATGAAACATGGCAGAGGCTGTGCCTTAAGGCCCACCATTGCAGAGTTCATGGGCATGGGGTGGGAATGAGGTACGACAGCTCTGGACATGATTTATCTGACTACATTTCTAGTCCTTACTCGTCATCTCTTCTGATGAGAATTGTAATGCATAGCTAACAGGGAACACTTACCATGTCTTGGCTGTCATACCAAGAATATCACGAAAGTATTTTCCTTAGCCCTTGGGTGCTAGTTACTATATTATACTCTTTTGCAGAAGTAGGAGCTGAGATCTAGAAAGGTCAGGGCATTTGTCCAAGGTCACTTTAGAGAGTTTCATAATAAAGACTGGAGCTTCTGACAGAGCATTATTCTGCCTCTGGCTTTTGAACCTTCATGAGAGTTAATTCATATTGCATAGGAGAGCTCTGTTATATTTTCAAGTCCTCTGGCCCACAGCTGGAATTGGATGCATAGGGAATATCATATCTATATGTCTGTAAATTAAGAACTTAAGCTTAGTTTGTGCAAGAGCTCAGAAACCACATGTTCACTTTGTGCAATAGGAAGTGTGAGGCATGCAGCCTCCAGCTGATGTGAACCAGTGTGGAGTAGCATGCTCACTTTGTCTGTGTTTAGGGTTAGAGGTTCCCATCAATCTCCTTAAAGAAAGGAGAAGTGGAGAGACCTGAGATTCTTCTCAGGTGATTTTAGAAAATAAATTTATTTGAATCTTAAAAGCTATGAGCAATTAAGTTGTCATGAGAGTACTATATTACCACAACAGTGTTATCCATCATTCACAATGAGACTGGTTTTTAAAGGAAATGCACACTGATGTCTAGCAAGCCAGGCTCAAGTGTGTTGTTTCAGAATAAGAACATTGCATCCAACCTTCTGTGTCTGTTATAGCCTTTCTAATTCCAGTCCAAATGCAGAGCAAAATGATGTAACTTCAAGTCATCTTGTAATATTTTCAGATCCCCTCCTCTGAGCCCCACCTCCTCTATTTTTCTTGATTTCACACTGAAACCTACCTCTGTATAGTAAGTTCTTTGTATCCTCTAAAGTTTGAGTTACACAGTAACTGTTATATATTTTGGCATGTTGCTGATGTCTCCTTTATACAACTGTCCAGTTTTCCAATCAATAATTAAAAACCTACTTTTAAAACTCTGTTTTCTAAATGTATGCTGCATGTTACACAGAACAGAGAAATTTGGCTTGACTGGCAGCCTTTATTAAAA